CCTTGGCTCGGTCGAGGTGTCCCCTCCTTGCTCCCATTTCGGTTATCCTGGGTTATTGAGATCCGTGTAAATCACCTTTTGCAGCCTCCCGAACTCCTCGGAGAAGCCAGGAGCTGAGCAGGCAGTTGGAGTCAAGGCCACCGGCATATAAACCTTGCCCTCCTCGATCTTCCAGCATGGGCACCACCATTCACCCGCAAGATCCTACCTGGGATGCCCTCTGGATGCTGTTAGCAGCCTTCGGCCTCTTCCTCCTGCCCGGCCCGGCCCGGGCTAACGAGTACGACTACGTCAGCTTCCAGTCGGACATTAGCTCCTACCAAAGTGGACGCTTCTACACCAAGCCGCCGCAATGCGTGGCCATCCCGGCCGACCTCCGTCTGTGCCACAGCGTGGGCTACGACAAGATGGTTTTGCCCAACCTCCTGGACCACGAGACCATGGCCGAGGTGAAGCAGCAAGCCAGCAGTTGGGTGCCCTTGCTCAACAAGAACTGCCATTTCGGCACCCAGCTCTTCCTTTGTTCTCTGTTTGCCCCCATCTGCTTGGACCGGCCCATCTACCCCTGTCGCTGGCTCTGCGAGGCCGTGCGTGACTCCTGTGAACCTGTCATGCAGTTCTTTGGATTCTACTGGCCCGAGATGCTTAAATGTGACCAGTTTCCCCAGGATGATGTCTGTATTGCCATGACGGCCCCCAACGCCACTGAAGCTTCGAAGCCCCAAGGTAAGCTTTTGTCTCCAACAGCATCTTCTTGTTCTGTATCTGCCTCACTTAGAGCCACTCAGAGATGGCCCTGCGGGAAAGTTGAGGTGAGACAATAGCTCCTGGCGGCCAACTTAGAGAGGGACCTGAGAAGCCCTTCTAAATGTTTAGGGAGAACCCATAGCTTCATGATCCAGCTGGGTCCCATCCTGACCATTTTCAGTTAAAGGTCTTCAGTAATGAATAGCACATTCTTCCCTAACCTCAGCACCTTCTGACTATTTGCCCTTCAGTTCCCAGAATTGTTTTCAGTGTCACACCAAGTTTCTTTTGGGAGTTGGTCTACATTTCTGAAGCACATCTAGGTTGGGAGGAGGATGGAGAAGACTCTTCTGGGCTGAGTAACCAGTAGTCCACCCATTCTAAATTGGGTTCATGTGTGAGGTTAAGAAGAAGGGAACAACTGTAGCTGAGTGGTAGAGGACAAAGTTTGCATGTTGAGGATTTCCGGTTCAACCCTGGACCTCTGTAGGCTAAAGAAAATTTCTGCTCAAGACCCTGGACGGTTGATGTCAGTACTAATTGCAATTACTACAGACATTGCTAATAGTAGCAGGATTCATTATTTGACTTGGCAGCTTCCTAAGAATCCTGCTGAATAAGGAACATGCAGTTCTGCCCCCAAAAGTGGTGGAGGGGAGAGCTTCAAAGAAATCATCTCCCATTTCTGCAGCAACGGTTGTGCCGTAGCTGGGTACTTTTGGAATCTTAGTAGCTTTTTGGGAGCTCAACAAACATTTCTCTTCTCTGGCTCCATTGCCATTTTGTGCATTGCAGCTCCTTCTGGGTTCTCATGAGCATGCTAGAGCACCCTTATTGATTAATTAAAACAAGAGCCTCTTCATAGGAGCAGTTTTGCTCTTTATAGCCAACAATGGTACAACTCCAGGCATAGAACAGAACTTACTTCTGCTGCTCTGCTGATCAACACATTGGCTTAATGCTGAACGTGGGTTAACAAAGCATAATCACTTTGTTTATAGGGCCTGCAGTGCCCAGACAACTCAATCCCATTTAGCATCATGTGATGACCTGGTTAATACCACATGCTAAAATCTATGGCTGAGTTCCCACAGGATGCTGAACCATCAGTGACCTGATCCTTTTGGAGCCTATATACTGTACTGGCAAACTCAGCATGACTTGCGTGTCGGATTATACCAAGCCTTTTCTCCTTAAAGCAGTATATGTAGTACTTCCTCACCCTCCCCAAGAGGTAGATGAGTCTGAGATAACCCTGATTGGCTTAAAGTTGGCCCTCTATGGTGAAGATTTAAACTTGAGCCTCCCAATTCTATCTGATAAGCACTTTTTTCCTGTAGAAAAGAAAATTTATTCAGAGGTAAAGATAACAAAGTGAGCCTCTGCAACCCATTTCCATTTGTTTCCTCCTAACTCTACGGTAAATTATTAAGAGAGGTGGGGGGAAAAAAAAGATTCATACTGAGTAGTTTCAAACTTGAGTTCCTGGCTCTAAGGTCTTGCCAGCCCAGGGGATGATCCTTTTCTGAATGCTAATGTGGCTTCCCCCTAAATTATGGGTCCTGGACCTCATCCCTGAAGACAGTCCCTAGCTCCAACTGCTTCTGTAGCTGGAGGTTTCATTTAGCTTTTACGGCAAACAGCTGTGGTTGAGAAACTCCTCCTGTGATTTTGCTGCCTGATGTTTGCAGCCATCCCGTACTCGTGCAAAAAGGGGGAGCGCTGCTACGAACCTTTCCCAAACTGATGTCATACTTCCCTCATCCCCTCCGAGGTGTTGACTTGTATCATTTCAACCCGCATGCCCCTTGCTGGCTGGGAATGATGGGAGTTGCAGTTGCAAGCCCTCTGGAGGGAACTGGTGTCAGGAAACCAATGCTGGAACTGGGCCTCCAGCAGTTTTATGATTAAACGAGCCTCGGGAAGCCCGGTCCTTGATGGGTGTGCGGCTTGAAACATTTGTCTGGGTAAATGTGCATAGGAGAGGATCTTTAACAAGCCACTTTCTTCAATTTCTCCTTTCTCTGCAATGCCAGGTTCCTAACAATACTAAGCTAATGTACCAGAATGTTGGAAAGATTGCTGGGTATAATGTTATGCATTTAGACATAGTAAAACATGCCAGATGTCAAGTTCTCCTCTGCTGTTTGGAATTTGCACTCTGGCTGCCTTGGGCGATCTTTTTGGCCTTAGTCTGGATGTACAGTTATGGGCTCGACCATCCTCAAGCTAGTGCCCCCCCCAGGACATTGGACTTAGACTCTTAGAATCTGAAAGCATCAGGTTGAAGAGGGTACTGACTAGTGCAGTGTTTCTCAACCTTGGCCCCTTGAAGATGTGTGGACTTCAACTCCCAGAATTCCCCAGCCAGCCATGCTGGC